GGGGGGGGGGGGGGGGGGGGGTGGCCCGGGCCCATAGCACTCTCCCCCCGGGGGCACAGTGTGAGGCCTTGTCGCAAAAAAAAAAAAAAAAAAAAAAAAAAAAAAACTACAAGTATTCTACCATCAAAATGCATGGAAATTACTGCTTGGGTAAAATGAATCATTACAGAATAAACCACAATAGCACTGTCCTAACTGGTGTGGATGGTTCTTGGTACTCACTCAGCTTTGCATAGCTTCTGCCAAGCTTCATGGAATTTCACAGGGTCCTCAGATTCAGTGATCGGCTCCAGATCAATGGAGTCTATGTACTAAAAAACACCCAACAGATAAAAAAAAATTAAGAAATGTAAACAGTGAAAAATACTAGCACCATCTAACTCAGTTACTCAATAATTAATTATTATGCAAACACTGTGCTAGGTACTGAGGATAGAAAAACATGTCTCTGTGAGATGAGGCCACTGGGAGGTAACTAGGTCAAAAAGGCAGAACCTCCATGAATAGAATCAGTGTCTTGATAAAAGAGAAGTTGCCACTTCTGCCACATTAGGACAGAACCAGAAACTGACGATCTAAAACCCAGAAGTGGGCCCTTGCCCAAACCCAGCCATATTGGCACTGTGATCTTGGACTTCCAGCCACAAGAGAGAAACGTCTGTTGTTTGTAAGCCCCTCATAGCAGCTGGAATGGACTAAACCACCACTACAAGGTCTTCAGTAAGAGGATGACAGAAACAGAGAGAATGGCTACAATGTGGAAAACAGAGGGAGACCTACAGCTGGAAAGCAGTCAGGAAGTTGCTATAGCCAGCCAGGCAAGATAAACAAAGACACCTTGTCCTTAACAGGAATATGACACAGTGATGATTCAAACAGTCCTCAATAGAAGCTAATGTCACTGAATTCGAAGAGATGAAGCATCAGGCACAGCAGTTCCTAGATACGTAACAGTCCCTATATAGCTAGATTATTTTAGTATTTCTATATGCAAGCAACTATCTGAATGCATCTTGAGATACAAAATTTTAGATCCTTTATAAAATTTGCATTGTGTAGATTTTTCTATCATAGTTTCTCTTTCCTATACAAGGGCTGGGGACTTGGAAGAGGAGGAACAGGACGTGAACTACTTTATTCCTTGGAAAGCAAAAAAGAAAAAGTGATAGTGAGAGAAGGAGGCTAAAAAGAAGGAGGGCGGGGCTCAGCGCCTATAGCTCAACCGGCTAAGGTGCCAGCCACATACACCTAAGGTGGTGGGTTCGAATCCCCAGCCCGGATCCGCCAAACAACAATGACGGCTGCAACCAAAAAATAGCCGGGCGTTGTGGTGGGCGCCTGTGGTCCCAGCTACTTGGGAGGC